AGCGATTATATAACGTTAGTCTGACAGGGATTTTACGTAGGGTGTAAAATATTACGTTGTGTAAAATAATAAATTCTGAGCAGTTTCTGAATTTGCGTGAAATAAGCACGTAAAAAAAAGTAAATGAAGAACAGAAATCAATCAAGTAATTGACAACCAAGCAAAAACCGTTGTTATATTAACGAAAGTTATTTTACCCGAAAGCAATATACAGTATAGGAAACATTTCCAATGAAGCGAAAAATGGAAAACGTAAAGAAAACTATTAAATAATTTTACTTTTTTCAAATATATAACTTCACATTATAGTATCAGTGTCGTTAACTATGAAAGATTGCTTGTGTTAACTTTCGTTAACTTGTGCAAACTTAATAATATAAGTGTATAATATTTGTATCGTCTCTTAAAAACGGAAATCTAAAGCAAACGTCACCAAAGGGAGAGTTACTATTTATTGTAAAGAGAGAAGTTTTCTTGTTTAATTTAGAAGGCATAAGGTTACTATGATTATACTATAATCATTTTTGCTTTTTCCTCCCAAATTTTTAGGTCGATTGACAGTAATGACGGGCATTGAAAACGAGTTGATTAACTCAATAAACTAGTTATTGTTGACTACAACACGTATAACATAGTTTACTAGACCTTACTCGCATAGAGAAGGTAACAGTCGTCAAATGAAGCTAATACAGTTGTCCCTTTTAATATTTATGGACAATAAACATTATTCAAAGCCTCAGTACGCGCTCGATAAAATTAAAAGTTTGTTGAATACTTAGAAGCCATTAAATGCAGGCTTGGAAACTTTGCCTCGTTGTTGTTCTCTATGAAGTGCGCAGCTGGTGGGCAAACTCTTATAATTGAGATTCATAAAGAATTCCTTTTGAATAATAATTCAAAGTGTATTGTTTATCAACTGTAACTAAACAGAATTTTCAATGTTTGTGAAACCATTAAAACTTAAGAAATCCTGGTATATAGTCAGCAAATTAATTAATATAGGCACATGTTTTTAGAGGCTGTATAAACCAAGTAACTAACGTAACGTTGAAACATAAATCAAGAATGATTTGAGAGACCTGTACAAATTTTTACTGTGCATAATTATAACTATTAACAGACAACTAAATGGATTTGTTGACTTCAAAAACTGTGACATCATATTACAAATGTAAAAATAAAAACACTTTTTAAAAAAATCCAGGTTTTTAAAGGCACTAAAAAGTAGAAAATAATTTATAAATATTGGAGAGAACAAATAATTGTAAGATTTGAATTGAAAAGCGTGGGGTGCATGCAATTGCTAATTTACAATTACCTTCACCTATTGAACTACTGTATTATATATTGCATACACCCCACGTTTTTCGTTTCACATCTTACTATTATTTATTCTCTCCACATATTTATAAACTAGGTATTTTATAATTTTTATTGCATTTAATACCGTGGAATTTAAAAATGTGTTTTTATTTATAAATTCATTTTTTTCTTTAATGTTTAAATATTCTAAATCTATTTTATATTTAAAATTTGTTTTATATTTAGAATCTGTCGGGAGCAGAACCTGTAGCTCTTAATCGCTGCTCTTTGAACAGTTAAATTGAATTATTTACAGCTGACTTCAATAAATTGATATACTTAATGATTTACATTCTTCCAAAATGTAAACATTGAAACTTTGGAAGCCCATCGGGTGTATTCCAAGGGAAATATGAACGAACATCATTATTTAATATTGCATTGTCATCCATTTGCGAGCTATGTTTCAAGTTTCTAGTCTCTAGCTCATCGGGAAGTTGGTTTATTATCGATTGCAAAATTTGTACCGGATAAGAAAGCGAGCTAAAAAAGTTTTAAAAATCAGCTTACTTTAGCCGAAATATTGTTAACTTATATTCCATTAGGCCTACATCGCCTCTATGCGTATCAATAAGCCCTTATATCCTTAGAATGATAGGTCACCTAGTAAAAAAAATAATAAAATGTTGATCTTAAAGTAAATCTTATTTTTTAATTTAATGGTTGTATATGTATTGGTAAGAGTTAAAGAATCTTAATCAGGAGATTGAAATACAATGGCCACAGTGAGACTAGTTGTTTCTTTACTTTAAGGTCTACCTTTCACTTCTACCTCTCTCCAAGACTACCCATGTTCCATTAAATGTTCGTGAATTTTAAATATCAAGAAGTAACGTCTTGTATAATTGATATAACTTCCATCTATTATTATAGAGTTGTTTTAACGATTATTTTGAAAATATTTTTTACCCGGTGTCTGGTGACTTTACTACGTTAACTTTTTCCATGGTTAGTAAGGCGGTTTTTATCCGGAGCCTGAACAAAAGCGCGACAGATTACGTAGCCATATTGGCGATGTTCTAGGGGTTCGTCCTGATTCCTCGAGTCACAAAACATCAGTACATTACCGGCTCAACCCTTCACTTTGGCTTATACATTCCACACACAGTGCAAAGACTTTCTGGACGTAACTATAAATGAATCAGTGAGTTGAAAAAAGTACCCGAGTCAATTTTCGCAACTTTCGGTAAACGTAAAAAAACTGTATAAGTTTTGCATTAACAAAAATATAAATGCATAAAAAATTGAGAATATTATTTTTAGTACTACAAAAAAGATAACAACACAAAACTACCATTTTTTATGAGTTATGTAAATGAAAAAAAAATTAATAAATTGTTGACTGAGGTCCCTTTTTGCTCTCAAGTCAAGTTTTTTTACCAAGATTTCTTACACCATACTAAAAAAGGTCAATAAAAAATTTTTAAAGGAACACTTTTATTTACAAGGATTTCATGTACTTTACTGACATATATTATGTGCAAAATTAAGTATTTTGCCAGTTTAAAGTTCTGGATTTTTACTCTTCGTACTTCACTCAATGTTATCTTGCTCGTCCGTCGTTTCCCAGTTTAGAATTTCATCATAGAATTGGATGTGTTCGTTTGGAATGTAACTATACAATCTTCTCAAATCAACAATCTTCTTTCTTTTAATGCGAACAAAACCCCTCGGATAAGCTTTTGTATCTGGTAGGGTGAGGCACAGGCCCTTTCGCAAGTTAAACGTATGCAGTGTCTGAAAATCTCCCGTTCTTATATGCATACTTGCTTTGACAGTACCTTTTTCCAAATAGGACTGGAAATAATAAAATTTGGAAATAACAAAATGTTGTTTCTCTTGACGAGGCAAGGTTTTGGTTTCGTTTGATACGGCTGTCTTTTTATATACCGTAGGCCACCATTTGGAATAGTCAGTAATTAAATCGCTTTCGACTAAGGTTACTGTACATGGAGATTTCTTGGAAGAGTTAACTATTAATTCACAAATTTCCTTTGGAGTGTAAATTCTGTCTTCATACTGAAACTTCTATCGCAAGAATTATAAGAGTGTCCTCGCAATGGGTAAAACTGCTTCACAACTTTGAACCTACCCAAGTCACACAAAGCAAGACAAACTTTAGATAATGTGTGGTTTTTATTTTGACCACAACAATTATCTGAAAAAAGGTGAAGTTCCTCAACTTGGCTAGGGAGTGTACTAATATAATCCATTAAGAATGAAGTAACATCATTACTTCCTTTGTGTGCTTTTCCTTCATGATAAACATAATAATGTGAAAGTTTAGTTTTTGTATTGTAAACACAAAAAACTTGCACGGTTAACTGGCGCAAGTAAAATACGTCTTGCACCGGGATTTTTGGTAGCTCAATGTTTTGCATAAAGTCAAATACAAGGCCAACAACTTTTTCATTATTTTCAGACATTTTTGTTGTATCTTGAAGAGCTTTGTGAAATTGCTTAGCGCGCCTGCGATGAACCATTAACTCTGCAGTGGCAACACGCTTTGCATTTTCATTAATATGAGGGCTTTTCAATTTAACTTGACGTTCCTCACAGTAGGCACAGGTGTCTATTTGGGGCCTACCGAATTTTAATGTAAAGTTCTCATTAAAATACTTGAGATAAAACTCGTATTTGACACCAACACTTGGAAACCTTTAATTATTTACATTTAATTCTGTTAACCTATAAAAATTGCATTATGATTCTAATAATTTCGTATTGGCAATAATTAAGGGCTAATAATCTTAAATAATGGAGTTTTCCTATAGGTATGTTGTTAATTACTACGGTTTTAATTGCAAACTGCCTGGGATCACCGTAGAATTAGAAGCATTTATTACAAAATTAACGTAGTTAATTGAGGTAAAATTGTTTGTCTGGGTAGCCGAGTGGTTATAGTGTTTTGTCTGGGTAGCCGAGTGGTTATAGTGTTTTGTCTGGGTAGCCGAGTGGTTATAGCGTTCACCATCAAATCGGAAAGTCGCTGGTTCGATTTCAAGCGAGATCGTTTCCAAACCTAGATGCCATTTGTCTTTGGGCTATGTATTAATGATGTTATCTAACATAAAGGTCGATGTTAGATAGTAACCAGGGGTTGACAGTTTCTTTTCAAAACGTAAAAATGCCATTAGGGGATGAAAAAATTCCATACAAAAAAAAGGACAAAAAACAGATATATAACGTAACTATTATGATATTTTTTTCTTTGATCGAATCAGGTATATTATACTATTTTAGATTGTTGTGCTGTAGCCTCAACCTGTCATACCCTCCCTTGCATGTGACCCGCACATAATGGTAGTCAGTGTTGGTTGCACGAACTGTTGTGCTGTAGTAAGGCGGTATTGTATTTTTTATTTTATTTTATTTACATGCTTCAATACAGCTTACACCATTTACATTGAAGCAGTTCATACACTTATAATAATTTCTTTAGCGGGTTTCTTCTTGTCCATTCACTTCGATTTAACTTACACTTTCATGCCTTAATATGTATCGCGAGGGAGGTGCTGATTCTATAGTTAGGCCGATGCCCAGACGTTTCGGTTTCCCTCCTGCATGTGACTCCCACCATGGAAGGTAGACCTAGAGATAGTCAGTGTTGGTGGCACGAACTGTTGTGGTGTTGTAAGGCTGTATCGAGAGGGAGGTGCTGTGACGCCGCTGGTTCTGTCCGTCAGGTGGAGACCATCGGCGACGCCTACATGGTCGTCTCCGGAGCGCCCCAGTCCGAGGACAACCACGCGGAGAAGGTGTGTGACATGGCACTCGACATGGTCGAGGCCATCACCGACCTCAAGGATCCTTCCACAGGTAATACACCAGTAGGCCTACATGTAACTGTTGTGTAAGAGTGTTTGCAACTGGTATAATATCATTAAAATTCATTGTTGTAGCCCCGGAACTGTAATATATAAAATATCTGGTTTCACAATACCAAGGAACTTTTGGAACTGATAAAGGTATTGTAAAACCAGATATTTTATAATATCATTGTCAAAAATCTGAATGTAAATACATTCTTTGTTTTAGGTTTATTTTTGGTGGTGGTATATGTATGGGGCTGTTGCGGATACATTCATCACGAGTAGTCTATTTACAATCGTTTCCACGATATATCAGGTCCTGAAATCTGATCCCGTTATCAGCTAAGAAAACCTCTAAAACATAAAAATGTCAGCTCACACAGACTCATTGAAAGGCACTTTATTATTATTATTATTATTTTCTTGAATATTACCCCTTAAACTTTTAAATAAATATATATTCGAAATACATCTTAAGAATTGTATGTTACAAATAGTTGTAAGACGAGTTTTGCTCGTTTGTGTAATAAATTGTAGTTGCTTAAAAATGTAAATTAACCTAGACCCGTGTTAAAAAACCAACATAGGTCGTATCATTATTCGTTTAGTATAATTGTTTTTAAATGCATCTTAAAATAACTCATATAAATAATTTCATTGTAAACTTGAACATTTTGTGAACTAAAACGGTTTTGGATTATTACTTTAGTGCGTTAGAAAGAGTAAACTGTTTTCAACAATAACACTATATTCTGTTGTATTCATCACATAAACTTTACAGACAGGCTTTGCATCAACACAACTGGGCGTCAAAACAAGTTATGTAATTCTTTGAAATTTGTCTTTTTTTAAGACTGTATGGCATCTCTGCATACAACGGGGGGAATCAACGTGATATTTATTCAGATTGAAAAAGATAGAGTCGGTTTCCATTTATCTAGATCAACGTTAATAGCCATAAGCAATTACATTTACATTTTTACAAAATATGATTCTCGTTTCAGTGGATTCTTGTTTTGAATAAAAAATACTTTGATACCTTAAGATTTTGGTTTGTCATCGACCTTATTTTATAACAAGTGCAATCTTACCAATTACGTTTTAAGTTATGAATACAGTTGTAATGATAATAAGCTGTAAAGTGGAATTGACCCATCGGCCAAGAGTCTTACGTCTTATAGTAATTCATATATCATACTGATTTAGCTCTTTTTAAACTCAAACTCCAAATGTACTCTCGTATAATATTTACTGTTCAACCCCTATACTTCCTTATTGCTTGTATAGTATTCCTTCTTCTTCAGTTCTTGGTTATCAATTTTCAGTGGAGATTACATTTTACATTATTTTACTAAAACACTCAAAGTTCAGTATCCTAAGTAAACTACTACGGCTAAAGCCGGGGAGCACTTGGCTCTATTCCCAACCATATAAATAAATGTAACTTTTTCTCAATAACTATAAGAGATATCATTATGATTTTATCTGCCTTAAACCTTATACATTTTTACACAAAATATAAGTAAACGAATTACTCATAAAATGTAAGAAATATTTTTTTGTATTCTAAACGTTCAAAAATTAATTATTTTCAATATTTTTTTTATTTTTACTTTCTCCCCCTATACATAGCCTAGTATAAAGAGAAAGATTGTTTTCGTCAAAATTTTAAGTTATATCCGTTTTGGATCCCTCTGGACCCAAAAAAGTGGTTTTCGAAGTGACGTCTGTGTATGTGTCCGTATGTGTGATTGTGTACAGAGCTACAGACTACACCTGTAGTCCGATTTCGATGAAATTTGGTATGTAGGTACTAATCCATGGTACAACCGGGAGTTTCTTTCATTTAAATTTTCTTTTTTCTTTTTATGGTGAGAATCGAATACTCTCGATTTAGCATGCTATAGCCCTTCAAATTCTAAAAAAATAGTAAAACTCCCATTCCTGTAAAAATTACGGTTCAAATGTCTATAAAATACTTTTTTAGCCTCGAATTCTCTTTTGCATTGAAATCCATTTTCTTCCTGCATTTCTTCAAGTTTATTCATTTCTTCAATTTCTTCTAGTTGTAATTGAAGTAACCGGCGCTTGCTGGAAGTTGAATATGTGGTTTTTGACTTAGAAGGGAGTTTTGGAGGTTGACTGTTTCTTTCTATGGGTTAATAATTCTTGTCATTTACAATTTCAGGGGAATATCTATTTGGAGGATGTTCCTCTCTCCCTAACCTTTCGTATTGACATGTTTCTTGACATAATTTATAAGTCGGGTTTCGGCACCAAAGTTAAAAATATCAAAGACAAGACTTAAAAGACACTTAATAAACTTGATCTGTATTTAACAAAGACAAGGTTTACAAAATCATAAATAATATGAGAACATATAATGTTGCATCAATTAATCAGAAATACCAAGGCAGACAATAAGTTATAACAGTATTTGTTAGTTAATAAGTGCTTTTAAGAATTATTTTAATTAAAAGTTGTATTTTCTTACCTTTTTCTCTGAAACTATCGCACATTCACATTGAACCTTTTTGTAAACCAAGAAAAAGATATAATGGTATCAATTCTGTATGCCTTGAATGCAAAAGGATAAATTTCCCTCTCTGGGCCATAGAGTACATGTTATTTCGTAAATTGCCTTATTATTGAACTTTAAAATAATGAGCGTGGCCGGCTGGGTATGGCCGTGACAATTTCTATATTGACGAGTGATTTTTAAAAATAAAACACAAACATTTTATTAAAATAACCCGTACTTTATTACTTATTTGTCCCCAAAAACATAGTGAGGGGGGGTCATTTTGATTACTACACAGAATGAAAAAATATTGGAAGGAGCAGAACTAGAAGAGTAGCTTGAAAAAAAGCATTAGATAATGCAACTGCTGATACCCCGCGAGTCCATCTCCATCTGCGTTCATTTCGTCTCAAGACTCTTCGAAAAAAAAAGAGGAAGAAAGATAGTAAGACGAGACAGGGATAAAGCATACAGAACTATAAAAAAGTAAAATATAAAGATAAAATAGCTTGAAAAATAAATTTTAAAATATAAAAAAAGGCTAGAAAGAGAACACAGGAAAAATCAGCTGGCTCTTTATCTACAAAGACACTTGTTTGATAGTTGGTTGGAAGAAGCAACGTTAAAGACAGCGTCTGAAAACCATCGTTTCCTGGATTTGTTCTAAAAAAAACGGCTTAAAATAAAAAAAAAACAAGCCGTGTCTGGGATGTTAACCACCTTGTGCCGTACATGAAATTACTATCCGACCCTCGAAACTTCGAGCCGACGTTAAGGAAGACAAAAGGTATCCTGATGTGCCTGCGACAAGAACTAATCACATTCTTCGAAAATGACTGTGTCAGTAGGGTGTTGCCAGGAAAAAAGGACTTTATCCAATGAGGCGGCATTAAAAAGCAAAGAAGAGTCCTTCTTGAGCCTCTACACTTTCTTCATAAGCAGTTTCAGAAGCAGTTAAAATGCAAAAATTCACTGTCGTCCTTTTGTCGTAAGAGGCCGTTTTGCAAAACAAAAAATAATAATTAAGACTGGGATTTGTTTGCTTGTATTAAACACTAGTATATGAGATTTGTGGTTAGTGCACTGCAAGCAAATGTGATTTCGGAAAACTCATCAAGAGAAGCGTTATCTACCACTGTGTGCTCCGATAGCAAAGAATGTTTGATAAGAAGGTGCTGTAAATGTAAGTACAAAACCATCAATTTTAATTTGGAAGAAAATTTCAAAGTTAAGTACTTTTAATAGGGAAAATATACGAAAGAAGAGCATTTTTTGCACAAGGTTTGTTCAAAAGTTGATAAAAGAAAAGACAGAGAATGTCAGTAAGGTGATGGCAGAGTTTATAACCATGAAACCTGTTTTGAAAAAACCTGTGTTGCCTGTGTTTAAAAAAACACGACTTCATGAAATACCAGGCCAAATGATTAGAGCGCAAGATAAAGAACATAGAAGAAGGAGGATTGGCTTTTAGGTTGAACTTTTCAGAGAACTACGTATGTAAATACGCGACAAAAATCCAATCCATCCACTTTGGAGCTTCAAAGAAGCAATTGTCTTTGAACACTGGAGTTGTGTACTTCAAAAAGGAGAAAGAAGTGAGGAGTGAATTTTTTGCGTCGGTATCTGACAACCTCGATCACCAGGTGCATGAGGTTTGGGGTATCATGAAACCTTTACTAAAAGACTACTCTCAGTGGTTTCCTAAAACAACTAAAAATAAAAATTGACAAAAATAAAATCGACAAGGCCATTAGTGTATGTCTCACAACAGATAGCTGGACATCAATGAATACAGAGAGCTTTGTCGCTGTAACAGCACTTTTCATAAACGACACTTTTGAACTGCAATAAGTATTGTTCCAGTGCGAACAGTTCTCAGGACGTCATACATCGGAAAATAGTGTCAAGGCCTTAAGAGATCTAGCTCATAAATTGGACCTAAAAGGCAATCACAGACTTGGAATGGAAGCATCTTGGATGCTTTGCACACAGTATTAATCTCGTGGAAAAGATACATTGAACATTGATTAAAACGTTGCTTTAAAAAATTAGGAAATTTGTTTCGCATTTCAAAAGAAGCACTAACTCCACCAAAAATCACATGACATATAAGGAAAACAGTGGTAAATGTAATAAAAACAATTGTTCAAGATGTACAATTAAGGTGGAACTCCACTTACTTCACGCTTCGGAATTTCATTTTTTACAGGAACCCTTTAAACCTATAATGGCACTAATTGGCAATGATCTCCCAGTATTAACTATTGCAGAGTTGAAAATTGTATGTGAGCTTTGAAATCTTTCTACTCTGTCACTAACACAATAAGTGTTGAGGACTATGCCACCGCTTCGTTGGTAATACCACTCTCTTTGTCCCTCGCCTCTATATGTAAGAAGGTGCAAACCAAGACGTTTACGGAGGAAGCCAAAAAGTTAGTTGCATGCTTGACTGAAGGGGTAGAACCCCGTTTTGGTAACGTTGAGTATGCCAGTCGTTGACTCTAGCTACCTTTCTTGATCCAAGGTTTAAAAATGTAGAATTTCCATCTGAACATGTCGGTACAGGTGTAAAACAACGTGTAGTTGGCATGGTCTGTGCAATTTCTGGGGATGATGGGTGTTTGGGAGAACCAAACAATGTCAAGATCAGTCAGCTGAGGATTTTGTTAATGAAACCCAGGTATATGAAGATGAACTTTGTGTATTGACGGATTTGGATGGTATTCTATCTAGAAAGAATAAAAAGTGCACACACTATTCTCGTGCTATATAGTTGAAGTCGACCGTTGTGTTGAAGACGATTTACTCGACAGAAAAGGAGATCCCTTAGTTTGGTGGAGAGAAAATGGACACCAGTATCCAAACATAACAAAGATTGCTCAAACACATTTTTGCTGCTTAGCGATATCTGTTTCATGTAAAAGGGCATTTTATAAGTCTGGATTGTTTGTGACATAAAGGAGTAACAGACTTAGTGCAACAAAAACAAAAATCTTGATGTTTTTTAATCATAATGAATCGCAAACACTTTCTGCTAGTTCTTTACGGGCTAAACATGTTTGGATGAAGACTCAAGTCTATGAGGACGAAGAAAATTATATAAACAAAATTGTTGACGCTATAGTTAGCCAGTAAAAACTTTGAATATATATATATATATATATATATATATATATATATATATATATATATATATATATATATATTATTAATAAATAATACACCATAGTACCCTTTTTTACATTATTTTTAATGACTGATGCATTTCAACACTAAGGTCATGGTCACAGTCTTTCACAATGTTATTAAATTTAAATATGTAAACAAAGAAAATAAATACAATCACATGTTTAAATTTTAACTAAATCTATCTTGTCTTGGAAAAATTATATAATTAAGAATATAGTTATGCCAATGGTTTTAATTATTATTTTTTTCTTAATTCTTGGATCTTTTCATAAATTGGGTTTACATTTTGTGTTTGCCTTATATTAAGGATGTTGCTTTCATTTTTTCTTGTTGCTAAATATATATGTAATTCTTCTTTTACATTCATCCTTTCTCCTTTGCGTTCATACTCCAAAATGTTTACACTATCTTCAATTTTTCCATTACTATGGTTATGTGATAAAATGTGTTCGGCGTACATTGATTTTTGAGTTGTCATGTTGTTGGATTTCACTGCTTGAATGTGTTTTTTGAATTGGCAAGAAAACATAACCATAGTTATGGGAAAATTGAAGATAGTTTAGGTTGAAGAAAAGGTTTAGATATGTTTTTGTTTGTTTTAGTGGTTTGAAAACAAGGAACATCTGTTTTTACTTCAATCTGAAACAAAAGTACAAGTTTTGCTTAATACATGCCGACTTTCTATGTTTTAAATGTTAAAGACACCATGTTTTGTAAAGTTCAATAGTGTAGCATATGGTTGGAAAGTTTTAAAATGGTGCATTTTTTAACATACTTGGCCACCTTATTATATACAGAGTGTTGAAAAATGCAATAGAAATATTATACTCAAAATCTTCATTCTTTCTATAGTGTGTTTAACATCTGGTGTTGGCCTAAGCCTACTTACATTTCTGTTGTTTCAATTTTCTTGTACTTATTCCCTAAGAACTTAACTAAGAACCCTAAGAACTCTTCTTTACAAGACGTGTACTTCTAGGCGTCTTTAAATTCACTGTACACAACAAAGAAAAACAACTGGTTTCACATTACCATGTATTATTGTTAAATGTAAACAACAGACGAATATGCAGATAACAGCTTATGTAATGTAGCCAGTACAACGGCAAAAACCAGGTTAACCATCATAACTGCCATCAAGCGGGAAAAGAAATGCCAAAATATTACGTAACTATCGTAGCCATTGCAACGACCCTTTAGTAGAAAAATCGATCCTGCATACATTTAATTTAGATATCGTAATGAAATAAACTATATTTTATTCAGAAAACTCAGGTCCGTGAAGTTGGCGTACCCATATTAGCGTATCCACTTTTGATCATACCAATCGTTAGTTCATCGTTAGTTCTCGATAGTTCCCAAATTTTTTCGTTAGTTCTCAAAAAATAAAAAAGTTATAGCCGATTATAAGTGGGTACGCTAACTTCACACTTCCGGGTTCTAGCGCGCGCCGTTTTCTGATGAGAAATGTTTACATCTATATATCAATCGTTAGTTCTTCGTTAGTCCTCGATAGTTCCCATTTTTTTCGTTAGTTCTCAAAAAAAAAAAAAAAAAAAGTTACGAGGCATACAAAGTGGGTACGCTAACTTCACAATTGTACAATTTCCAGCGGGCACAGTTTTTTTTACTATAAATGCCTATATCTATGTACCAATCGTTAGTTCTTCGTTAGTTCTCGATAGTTCTCCAATATTTACGTTAGTTCTCAAAAAATAAAAAAGTTACGAGGCATACAATGTGAGTACGCTGACTTCGCAATTATACAAGTTTCAATCAACTACTGAAGACCAATTACGTACGTTAAATTTAATGTTACATACACATTTCAAACTTAACATTTTTTGTACATTTCCTGCTTTCCTTTAGGACTAATATATCAAATCATCAATCAAATTATCATATGTGAATCTAAAAGTATTTTAAAATGTTTATTATATGGAGAGTTTGTTATGAATTTAGATATTGAAACTCCTATATTACTAGATTAGAGTGATTTTCAACTTTTCCTAAGCCGTGTCAAACGCTATTCCAAGTTCTTCCGTCAACAAAATAAGCTGTCTCCAGACATGCGCCACTCCCAAAACACGACATATTTGCCGTTCGACGATCTAGCTGTTTTGCTATTCGCCGATTAACGAGTAAAACGTCTGCACACATGTGTTATTTTCCTAACAACTGTTCGTTTCGGGAATGGCAAAAATATTCGTTCACTTTGATGTGTGCAAAAATACCGGCAATGAACGGAAAACACAAGCACGAGCATTTGCTGCCATACTACTTGCGAGCGTAGGTACAGTCTGGAGCCGGCTATAGGCATGGAACTTGAATAAAACCCCCTTTTTGCAAATCATTAAACTAAATCTTAATTAATTATTTTATTATATATAATTTATCATAAGATAAAAATATTTATTCTCGGTATATATTAATAATCTAACACATTTTATTTTAAACGTATTTCTAAACTGTTTAAGAACGATGCTGTGAATGTTTGAAAGAATGATTGAGTGTACATTTTTGAGAACTATCCAGAGCTAACGAAGAACTAAAGATTGGTATATAGATATAGGCATTTATAGTCAGAAAACTGTGCCCGCTGGAAATTGTATAGTTGTGAAGTTAGCGTACCCACTTTGTATGCCTCGTAACTTTTTTATTTTTTGAGAACTAAACGTAAATATTGGAGAACTATCGAGAACTAACGAAGAACTAACGATTAGTATATAGATATAAGCATTTATAGTCAGAAAACTGTGCCCGCTGGAAATTGTATAGTTGTGAAGTTAGCGTACCCACTTTGTATGCCTCGTAACTTTTTTATTTTTTGAGAACTAACGTAAATATTGGAGAACTATCGAGAACTAACGAAGAACTACCGATTGGTACATAGATATAGGCATTTATAGTAAAAAAAACTGTGCCCGCTGGAAATTGTACAATTGTGAAGTTAGCGTACCCACTTTGTATGCCTCGTAACTTTTTTTATTTTTTGAGAACTAACGAAAAAATTTGGGAACTATCGAGAACTAACGATGAACTAACGATTGGTATGATCAAAAGTGGATACGCTAATATGGGTACGCCAACTTCACGGACCTAGAAAACTCCATTCTTCCAAATAAAAATAAATTAAATATATGATTTTTTCATAATCTTTTCCAAGTGCTCGAAGACAGTTTAATTATATTTAAATCATAAAGGCAGCTTCCTATGCAGTTTTAAGGCAGACAGGGTATATTTACTTAAGATTTTGTCAAGTATTCACCAGATTACCTATAAGATAAAATGATTTTTTTCTGATAAATGATGTTATGAGATTGGTAGTTTTGAATTAGTTTACATAGCTTTTTGTTAGAAGCATAATGTTGAGATTTATAAGTTTTAATGCCTCCAGGGTCCCACCTGCAGATAAGAGTGGGTGTCCACAGCGGCGCTGTAGTGGCGGGTATCGTGGGCCTCAAGATGCCTCGCTACTGCCTGTTTGGCGACTCTGTCAACACGGCCTCCAGGATGGAGTCTACCAGTGAGGCGATGCGAATCCACATCTCGCAGAGCACGCGGGACCTCCTACCACCGGAATATGTCGTTAAGGAACGCGGCGAGATACAGGTCAAAGGGAAAGGTTAGCTTGAGTTTCCTTGTTGAGCGGAGCGAGCGAAGCGAGCGAAGCTCTTTGGGATCAACTTCAATGCAAACAATATAACACCATCACTCAATAACGGCTGAACACATTTCAGCCAAACTTAACAAGACTACTTAGACTAATAATGAGATGGTTTGAAAACAAACAAATTTCAATTAGATAATGCTAATGCAATTTAAAACGAACTTAAAATTTAAAATTTTTTAACATTAGGCTTATGGGACTAAAGTAGCTATGACAGTTTTTTTGTTTACAAGAAAAATGTAAACAAGAGAATCATAAGGTATTTCTGAACTTTCTATACTTTTCTTTTAAACGTTTTTAAACCATTCCTATGATTTTAATAAACAAGAAAATGCCGTTAAAACATTTTTTAAGGCGCGGAATTCACTGAAAATCGAGAAAATATACGGAACTACTTTCTCAATGCGCGGAGCATAAACAAGGAGCGGAGGGATACGGACCGGTGACTACGTTCTTGGGAACCTATTTGTGTTGCCAGCTGATTAGAAACAGCCAATGTTAGAAATCAGGATTTAATAAGCGATATATCGAACCGCATCGAAATCGGTATTTAATCCGATAATACCTCATAGGTTATATTATGTTGAATTACATCGACGGTACAGTAAGTTATTACACTTATTCTATTCATAAAACGCAGATTGAACACTGATCTAATTTAGACATGTGTGGAGGTAGGTCGGGGTTTATGAGTATTCGTGACTACATTAAGTGTTTTGAAGTAAGGTTAGATTAGGAAGGTATAGTGTAGGTTACAGGTAGGTGATCGGGTTGTTTATTTGTGTTGCACCATATAATTTTTATCTTTTGGAATGGAATAGTTGGTTAAGGTTAAACGGGGAAACGATTTCAAAAATGCTTGCATATGGTCTTAACTTAACAAACCATCTGCAGTATTCTAGCTCTGACTTTATATAAAGTCAATGATTCTAGCAAATTATTACATACTGACCAAAAGAAAAGAGAACATTTGGATTTGTACCTTTGACCATAGCAAAACTAACATATAATTATGGAATGTGAAAAGTTGTATATCATTATATACTATTCTGTAATATTAATAATTGTTCGGCAAATCCTCATTTTAATGGCTCGGCTGAAAATGGAATCTGCATTTTGTGAAATTTGGTAACAATTCAGTCATTTCAAATGTTGATAACAGTAGCCTATCCTATATAAATACTGTTATTTGATTGCCAAGCCACGGACTATACATACGTCCAGTTACAACCGTAATAAGTAAACCTGGGCTTATAGAAGTACACTTTTAACCACGGTATGGATAATTGTCTAGGCCTGTCCAGAAGTATGCTACTAATTTCTAATTATATTATCTACATTGTATATTTAAGGTATGTCTTCCCTACTTATTATATTATTCTGTTTTCACTTAAATCAGCTGAATGCGATGTTTACTTATTACTTAATATGTTTATGCCTATATTTCAGCCATCTTATTTTGTTGTTCAATAAGTAAGACTTTTTGCAGTTTTTACGTTTTTACACATTGAAATACATGACTGATAATTCAGTTTGTTTTAGTCTTTTAAAGGCGTTTTACATTTGAGTCTTACATTAAAATAGCCCTAAATTTTTCGTAGGCCTATGTTTTATCTTTGACTATCAGTACAACTAGACATTCCATCCCCATGTTGAATTTGTAGCCAGCATTTTCATCAAAATCTACTGTATTCAATGGCCAATGGTATTATTAAGGCCAGTATTAAAATGCCGCTAAATCGTCCTAATAATGGCAGAAGACCTACATTCCAGTTACATTACAATCATATCCTCCATCAAGAATACTTCGTATTAACAATCATAAATTATTTCCAGCAAAGAAAGCTGAGTTTAACCTATGTCTATGCTGCACAGTTGAATTTAAATGTCACATTTCCTCTCCTGTCGTTATACAATACTCGTTTTTAATAGGTACTGTTTTTTTATACTTAAATACTTTAACCAAAGGGTGAAAAATGAAGTCCAATGTTTTTGTTGTAGGCTACAGTTGAATTTGAATGTTAAATTTCCTTTCTCTTTTTTATACTTTAATGCCCTTTTTGGATGTTAATATCAGATTCCAACTACTGTAATATTTTCCTGGTCAAAACTACCATAATGCACTTCTCGAAGAGGTAAATTTGAATTATTATAATTTTAATCTTTAAAACCAGCATTAGTAAATAAATCTTTTTTACATTTAGTTACTTATACAAATATCAAATCACGTTTGTTCCGCTCAACTGGCTTTCACCTCTCTGAAAGCAACCCTAGTATATGAAAAGGTTTTCCTTATTTTTGTCAAAAGCTTCCACTGCTGATTTTTATAAAATTCTATTCAGCGATTACCTGTATTTTATTGTTATTATTCTTGCTATAAAACCATCGCATTAAACATAAACTGGGTTATATATTTTCCCCTTAAACATTTCCAATCCGGGGTAGTGATCCGATCTTTAGGTCTATACTGAACTTGAATAAGTTGACTAATACTCCAGTAGATATATACTTTTTACCTGGAAAGTATTCCGAAGTTGATGGAATTTCAACATTTGGTCTTGGGGTACTCTGGGATGTTTATCCTGATTTTTCAACCTCTGGTACCCTGTGCTTACTTTGGGAGGGACCAAAAACTTCAAGATTTTCGGTATTTTTTATGTTTTTGGTGTATATGTTGTAAATTAAGCAAGTTTTGTGTACGATTGTGCGTCAAAAAGTTGTAGAGCATAAAAGTCGCTAAATTTTGGTTGGTTACAAAATCTTTTAGACTCAATATTAACTGGGGTATGGCCGAACAAAGTTAGTTTTTTTTATGTAAACAAATTGTTCAAAACTGGAGTTTTCGGGCCTGTAACTTTTTTTGTCATATGGTTGTTTTAATAACTCATCAATATCAACATCTTGGAATACCTACTCCCCCCTCCCATCCCCCTTCGTGCACTCACCAAACACTTACGGTGGAAACTTGATAAAAATTGGTCCAGAAGTGGTAACCTCTTCAACCCCTTCTACACATATGTGTTGGTTAACTTTTATTATTCATATATATATATATGTAAAGGGTTCCACAAAAGATAAAGAGACACATTTGCGGTAGTTATTATCTCTAAAGTTGGCAACAATGCTTCCTTCTCTCAGATTCTTTGCAGGCTACCAGCTGTATCAGTTTTCTCGAGGCTAGTCCCAGGTTTCTCATGTTGAGGTTATAACCCGTTTTTGGACCATCGTTATTAGCGTTGCTTATGTAAGTATTGACTTCATAATTTTGGTATTATGTTCTTATTATTCCATATTCATAGAATAAACGTTGTAATTGATCAGAACACTGTTGTATAATTATCTACAATAAGATTTATTTACTTACACAAATGTGGTGGTTTAGCATTCAAGGTAAATTTTTCACCAACACATTTGTGACGTTTGCGCAAAAGTGTACCACCGAGTGATTTTTTACTGTCACATACGTGTTACTTGTACAAAAGTGAACCTCAGTACATTTATAAACAAAGCCTTTGAAAAATTGAACAGCCTAATCTCAAATAATTTCATTTTACAGCCTACCATTTACCAAAGCGTTGACTGAATAATTTTACGCTAAAATATATTTATAATTATAAATAAAGTAAAATACAACTATACAAAATTATAAATAAAATACAATTATAATAAATTATAAAAAACAATTACAATACACTAATATATTTATACTTTTGGCTCACCTGAAAAATAAGAGATGTCTGTGTGGCCATAACTAGTAGAATTATTTTTCCTTTCTTTCTCTTATATACTTGCTTATACTTTCCAGGTAGCTTTACAACCATGGATAGAAGAATAAACTTGACAGGAAGACCAGATATTATAGATAGAATCCTTTCAAATTTAGCTGACCCGAATTCTTCTGATATTGAGTTTATTGACGATGATGACGAGAGTGATAACGAAATAGAATTCCAAAGCCGCCTCTCTGAGGACTTACCTGTAGGCGATGAAAATGAACATCCAGATGGAGCAACATTTGAAAATTATAATATTGAAAGCAATGTAATAAATAAAGAAATAGATTCACCTGAAGATGAAGGTGATCTCACAGAAGGAGATGAATATCAAGATGAAATGAGTGCTACATTTGAAAAATCTGACATCGAAAACATTTTGGTAACTGAAGAAATTGATTTACCTGCAGACGAAGTTGAACTTAGAGAAAGAAATGAATATCAAGATAAAATTATTGCTGAATTTGAAAAATCTGATGTCGAAAACAGTGCAGTACCTGAAGAAATTGATTTACCTGCAGACAAAGTCGAACTTAGAGATGGAAATGAATATCATGATAAAATGATTACTGCATTTGAAAAATCTGATGTCGAAAACAGTGGAGTGCCTCAAGAAACTGATTTATCTGCAGATGAAGTTGTAGTTATAACAGATGTCCGTGAATTAGAGGAAATGAATTATGTGCAAGAAGATGTAATTATTTAAATGATAGGCCTAGATGTTTCTCATCAAAATGGAACTGAACACAGTGAGGAAATCAGTGTGTCGCTTGAAAAAGTGAAAGTAGACTTAACGAAAACAGGAACGAAAATAGGACTTAATGAAAGTAGGAAACTATTGAAAACGGATTAAAAAAATGTGGTCTGAGTCCATGGAACCCAGATGCCATAGACTACACGAAAACTGACATTTTACATTCTGAAACACCAGCAAACAAGACGAAAGATGGCAGAAAAAAACTACCTGTTCCTGTTGAAGAAACGCACGAGTATGATAAGTTTGTAAATGTGTTAGAATCTCTCATCAATAAAGAGACACTGGTTCAGTTCAAAGAAACTTACAGCAAATTCACACCCGTTTGGATGGGCGAAGACACATCACAGGACCTTTATGTTGTTTGGAAAAAGGCAAAGTACGCTGCTAAGCTACAAACCTCTGGACCTCAAGAGAATACTGCCAAAGAACCTGTAACTTCTGTAGCAAGAATGTTTCAAATTGTAAATATACCTTCATGTCCTACAAGAGAGGAAGAGGAATCAATTGATGATCTAGGCCTAGATCTTGCCTTACCCTCTAGGCCTACATCTGCTGGAGGAGAAGTTGTAGAAGAACAACCAACTCCTACAAGAGAGAAGCCAATTGAAGAGCTAAAGCTTAACTTACCTTCTACATCAGCTGCAGGAGAATTTGTCGAAGAACATCCCACAGTGCCTCAAGGAGTGAACGAGAGATAACAAAAAATGCTTAAGGTGATTTCACCAAAAACTAATGGGAAAGGGGTTCCTTCCCCATTTAAAAACCACTTATTTTGCCAGTGACACCTGAGAAAAAATGCAAGACAAGAAAAAATGTAAGAATGCCGAGTGTCGTCTCATCTAAAGCTTGGTTCGAGTTTGAAGAGGTAAAGATTGCTGAAAAAGAAAAAGCAGAGAAAGAAAAAGAAGAAAGGAAGAGAAAAAGCAAAAAAAGAAAAGGGGAAGAAGGGTAAAGGGAAAAAGTCTGCTAAAGATGTTTATGACGTTGAAGAAGATTGGATTTGTAAAGTATGTGGAATGCGTTACTCCAGCGAACTTATAAAGAGTTTAAGAAGAAGATGGGTGGAATGTGATGAGTGCAAGCTCCAATACCATTACAAATGCATCCCGAAAGCACATTTAAATTTGTATGGCCTAGAAGAAGGAGATGAAGATGATGACGAGGTCGCTTTTATTTGCCATTTGTGTGTGGAGGTCAAAAGTGACGATGATTTGGCGGATATTTTTGGAGAACTAAGTGAAGAAAGTGATATTTAAGATAGTACTTTCACTGTTCCATAAGCTTAGCACTGTTCCTAAGGCTTGTATTTATAGCCTATTATGTTTTATTTGTTTAATAGGCTATTGTTTGTTGTTTAGCTTCATATTACATTGTGGGTTACTATACTGCCAAAGACTAGGACAAAGGATGCCAATTATTAGACCACAGTGACAATTACTGTGAAATTTTAGAAAAATTTTTTACTCAATATAATCTTCCTATTTTCAGTATTATAATATAGATTAAGATGTTTTTTATGAGTAAAAGGTGTGACAAATCAGATAGTGTGGTTGTTTAAACCTTACACCTCAATTTTTTTTTCAAAATTTTTTTAAGAAATTGCCAATTTTAAAGTGCCAATTACTGGTACACTTACATCTTTAACTAGTCTGGTCCAAAAGGTAACCAGTCTGGTTTGTATATTTACAGGTAACATGAAGACGTACTGGCTGGTGGAGAGGGAGCACAGGGTGCCACTATCTCGCCACATCCCCGCCAGAGAGAGTGCCGAACCTCTGGAGTGGGAGAAGTGTGCGGACAATGTGAAGCTCATCCAGGAGGACCGCGCCAGGGTGTACTCGCCCGTCACGTTCCAGGAGGTGGCGAGGAGGTCGGTGGACAACTCTCCGGTCAAATTGCGGCCTGACAACAGAGGTAGATTCATATGGAATTTTACTCATTTCCTGAGTAGCTAGTCGTCATGCATTGTTGCCATCGGTTTTTGAAATTATGTAGACCGTTAACATATCAAAGTATTTAAATCCATCTTCTGTGTTGATGAACAAATTAATTCATAGTAATAATAATTAATTCAGTTATACAGCTGACGAGAAAGCTAGTTTGAATACGGACCGCGTTTAGTAGAACGGAACTAACCCACACTGGGTTAATTTTGTGCTAAAGTCAATAAATTTGATAAATAATTATAAATCCCGGTTTAACTTATGTAAAGGAATTGTTTCGCTGGATTACTATTTTTTGTTTTTATTTAAAGGGCATAGATGTAAGTGGTGTTATCATTTTGTTACACTATGTTTTTGTGGGTTGGTTCGGTTCAGATTTTTTTATGGCTGGTAATAAATAAGCTGAAAACGTCTTGAGGGTTTATTTTTCTTTATTTCTCTGAAATTATTCTGACACATTATTTTTTTTTATATAGTTGTTCTTCAAAACACAGATTCTTTATAAACCATAACAATAATTTTTTATATTCTACATTGAAAAAACAATTTAATTGGTCAATATTTTGAAATTTGTTGCTGTTCAATACTTTGCGTTCATGTATTCTTTGAAGCAGTGTCTGTTACCGGTTCAAATTAAAGAAAAGAGTACATGAAAATAAATATTTTATTACCTAAAATTTATTAAATACAATTTTGACATAATTCGTCTAACATATTATAAAAGTAAGTACCACAATAGGCTTGCTACTTAGGCCTACTACTGCAAAGGTAAGTTAAATAAGCACTATATGCACATTACACATTTGTCGACGGATCAATAATAAGGCCTACTTAACAGTAACATCGTATTTTAATAAATTATTGTACTTCTTCTTATTTAAAGATAATATAAGTTAGCTTAAGAAGATCTTGCATTTGTTAAATAAAAAAAGTTTAAAAGCAGATCTTTATCATAACGACATAACATTTCACATCCCGACATATGTGAGGACACTTCTTCCTCTAATTCGAAATGTAAAGGTGCACAAAACCCTTCCAAGTCATCTTCCACTTCTGTACTTCCTGTGAGATTTGTGAAGAAGCGTTTTACATCAATGGGAGTAATGTGCATTACAGATTTTAAATCTTTCAACTTCAGTGCCGCTATGGCTTTTCCATTTGTCCGCATATTAACCAGGGAACCTTTAAGACTAAATTAGTTTTTTTGCCTTCCTTTTACTGATTTACTCTCTGGGTCAAATGTTGTATAAGAGTCATCACATTTTTTTTCACATACAGCTTTAGAGATTCGTTTTTTTCAATTTTGATTTCCCTAAAATTTAGCCAATTAATTTTACAGTCATCCATAACTTTCTTTTGATTTACCTACTATTATATTTTCTGTGCCGAAAAAATCTTCTTGAGACATAGGTGTGACAATAAATGTGGTTTTTGACCTAAATGTCTTCATTTGTGAAAAGTAATCTAAGGGGAAGTAAAGTTTTTGTACATGTTTATGTGCACATTCAACATCACTGAAGTCAGTGTTGTTCGGCAAAAATGTGTGACCTGGTAAGGGCTTAATGATAATGCTTTCAAAGGAACACTTTTAATAGCTTCTAGGCAAGCTTTAAGCATTAGCAGGATTTTAATATTGCGGTTTTGTCCCCCACAAGAATCACAAAATGAATCTAACGTTTTGACATTCTCAACAATATTATTTATAACATGCTTCATAAGGCATGACCCGATTTCTTGAGCTCCTCGTCCAGCTTGGTTTTCTACCCAGACATAAAAATACCCTTCCTTCCCCCCCCCCCCCCAATGCACTTCGGCGTTGTGTATAGACATACATTTATACAATTCCTCTCGAGGTCTTTTTGCAAGTGTCAAATGTTGATTTTGCAAATACTCTGCTTCTCTTCTTTTCCCTCCAAACGACACTAGTTGAAATTGCTGCGTAGGAATCACATTTATTGAAAGTGACCTTTTTTACAGAATTGAATTTTAAGTTGAATTTATTTAAAAATATTCTTCTATAGGTAGTGAGACTAACCGGGTTTCTCGATTCTTCTGCATACATGGTGTAAATCTATACAGTACGGCACTGTGATCTGGTAGGCTGTAAACACACACGTTATTCTCAGTTGAAAATGCTTTATTATATAACGTAAAGTAGCTAGCGATTAACTGACGTTGAGTAATGTTCAAAAATACTTTATTGTAAGTTTCCCGTATGATTCATAACAAAACTAAACCTTTCACGGACCATTAAGGCAAAACGGACACGATTATATTTCATTCACTGGGATAAGGATGGAAACGGAGTTCTCTAGATTCCTAGTAAGGTCGGTTAAACCAGGGAGCATAAACCGTTCTTTATTTTTGCCTGGGCAGAGACGTTTAATCCAAGCGGTGGTTGACTCGGGGTCGGTTAAGAGAAGGTCACTGTATACAGTTATTGAAATTTTAACCCCCACACCCACTCAACTTACAATCAAATGATTGAAACTTACTTCTTAAAAGCTTACCGGTATTTGTGGCCAGGAAAGATTCTTTTTTACTTTTTGGTATTTTCTGGTTTGTCCCTTCAGACTGAATTTGAGACATAAAGTTACTCCCATGATTATTTTAAAAATGCTTCCTGCTGTTTTTGGGACACTTTTTCTTCGGCTTGTTCAATCACAATTTTCATCTTAAACAATCGAACAATATAATATACAGCAGTTATTATTATCCGCCAAAAATTTAAATCTGAATCTGAATCGGCGTGCACTCTGGTTAGGCTGCAATGCAAATTATATGGGATAACAAGCTTCTATATCGGTACCAATATATCATAAGATATTTTATCTGAATTATTCTGAGTTTTGGGTGCTTATATACCATATTTTGGTATATTAAGCATGAAAAGCCATATAGAATGATTAATACATGGCTAGTAAATAAAATAAAATAAATTAAATATTAGAAAAACTAATTATTTTATATTTATTACTTTGCTTATTTATAATCTAAAATAAAAATATTTATACAACGAAATTGCAGATAATATTACATACATGCATTATTCTACTCACAAAACTACCAGGAATGACTGATGAATATTCGGAATCTCTAGTCCTAACAGTTTCTATGAAAATGGTAGTCCCACCTACCTAAGCACTAAAAACTGTACTTTCAGGAAATCGCCAGAAGAGTACACGTACAAGTATACTTACCACTTTTTGGCTGAAGGTTCTGTCAAGGATAAGTGTTTCCAATTGACCTTCCAAGTACAATTTGAGTTCTCTTATTTTTGTGTTCGTTAGTTAAACACTTTCTGCAATAATATAATGGAGTTACATAAATATATATACGAGACTTCCAATGTAGGCTACGAGGAATTGGGCCATGGACCTGCAGAGTAGCAAATAGCTCCATTTATCCCAATGTACTAAGGAATCGCAAGAGGGCACCTGCTATGAATATAATAACTTTAAGCTAGCTGCTGATAATTACTTTACAAACATTGTCGTTCCCATAAGATTATTTTCTTTTTTTTACTACAGAACATTGGTTTTTTATTGCTGAGTCCCTCCTGGAGTGTTATTAAAACATTCCAAGAAGAAGGCGACTGTGATTACGACCTAATTGCTGGTTTATAGAGGATAGGCAGGATGCGTATCCTGACATGGAAAACATTCTATTAAGAGAATTGCTAAAAACTATGATGGACCGGAAGATGATAGGATATTACTAACAGTTGACGTGGTCAAAGATAACTTTGGTAAGATAAAAAATAGGCATCGCACTAAAATATATTAATCTACTAGTGAAGACCTTTAATTTGATGTGCATATCGACCTATGCTTACGTTAAAAATTGTCTTCCTATTCCTAGGGCTGTGCCCCCTGAGGAGTAAGCGTATAATAGCAATGCAAATTAAATGAATCTTTAAACCACTGTCATTCTTGGCTCGGTTGTCCGTTTGAGTTCAAATTTGCGGCATTATATTCTGCTAGTAAAGACCTTTAATTGGATGTACATGTCAACCTATGCTTCTATTTAAGATTTCCTTCTGACTCCTTGCGGGATGTCCCCATGATATGACAGAAAATTGATATTTCCTTAAAAAAGTAGATTTTTAAATGTGGTGTTGATGTACCAAATCTTGTTGATTTATCTGGTGTCGTTTAGAAAATATTAAACCGGTCCGGGACTTTTGAGACAGTCTGTATATCCTAATACCTTATATTACCATACTAATTTATTACATTAACAACTAATATTTATTTGATTGTCAAATGATACAAAATTCCAAACAAGTGGCATCACCACAAACCGTGATATCCATTGTAGAGTTGATATGTGTTATAGGTCCTACAGCATTACATTTATTAGTGACTTTTATTAGTTGCAAAAATTATTTTAAAAGACAAAACAAATAAATTAATTGTTTCTAGCTTTAGGTTAGGTATACTGTTTGTACTAAATTATCTACTATAGGCCAAATATGACATTACATAAATATCATTATTATTTCGAAAATTGCTTTTACCCATGTTTATGAATATAGTAAATTGATGTAGAAATAAATTATAAAATGTAAATTATACATTGTCTCATATTAGGCCTAGTTGAAAATTTTCAGTTAGTAACTTAAACAAGACGTTTTCTCAATTTTGTTTATTTATATAATTTTGAAAGAGGAATGGCTGATGCCATAAAGTTTCAAAGAGGAGTCCAGTCTCTTACAGCTTATGAAAATGAAGAAAAAGAGCCAGGCTGTCGCAGAAGAATACATGGCCTCCATTTTGAGTCATTGGACGATGAAAATGTTTCTTAAGTATCGTTCCCGCAAGTCCCATCAAAAGATAAGTCAGTGGCAGTGGCAAGTCAATCAAAACCGTATCCTAAGCCTACTACCCAACGAATGTTAGTGGAGGAAGTTAATAGGCCTATCTACAGCACAAATCAAAGTTTGTTGTCCAAAAAACATCAGGAGAAGTG